GTGTGTGTCTGTGTATGTGTGCGTGCGTGCGTGCGTGTGTGTGTGTGTGTGAGAGTGTGTGTGTGTGTGAGAGTGTGTGTGTGTATTCTGTGCTGTTTGTGTTGTAAACAGCTCTGCGCTCGCGCTGCACGGTTCCCAGCATTTCTTTCTCTGTGTTTGGACTGCTGGACCCGGATCAGATGTTTATTGGCAGGCGGCGCGGAGCGGAGGATTAATGCCGTTTATTTGCGTCCTGGTGGATTGGATGAGTGTTCAGTCAATTAGCGATCACTGTTACATTGTGCTGAAGGAAACGCTGCTCGTTAGAGTCAAAACTTGGGAAGACAAAAGAGTCGTGTTGGGAAGTTACTGTGAAACTGTGCTTAGTCAAACTACAAGATATTCAGCATTTACATTAGCTAAAGTACAGTCAAACTACACTAAACTAACAACAAAAAGTAGCTAACAACACAGAAGCACAATGACTGAATCAGTAAATAATTTATGAACCAATTCATTTTGTCCAAATGAATGGATCCATTTAAGTGAACTATCCAAACGAATGGATTTATTTTAGTGAATCATCCAAATGAACAGATTCATTTAAGTGAACAATCTAATTTAACCAATTCGTACGTGAACTATCTAAATTAACAAATTTAATGAACCATTTAAATAAACAGATTCATTTAAGTGAACAATCTAATTTAACCAATTCGTACGTGAACTATCTAAATTAACAAATTTAATGAACCATTTAAATAAACAGATTCATTTAAGTGAACCATCCAAATGAAGGGATTTTTATTTAAGTGAATAAACCAAATGAATGGATTTATGTGGATGGTTCACTTAAATTAATTGGTTCATTTAGCTCTGTTCACTTAAATGAATCAGTTCATTTGAATGGTTCACTTTAATGAATCCTTTCATTTGGATGGGTTACTCAAATAAATGCATTCATTTGGATGATTCACATAAATCATGGTTTTGATTGTTCACCTAAATGGATGATTCACACTTTAAATGAATCAGTTTAGTTGGATTTTTCACTCAAATGAATCTGTTCATTTGAATGGTTCACTCAAATCCATTCATTGGATGATTCACTGAAACAAATCTGTTCATTTGGATGGTTCACTTAAATTAATCTGTTCATGTGGACCATTTACCTAAATGAATTCGTTCATTTAGATGGTTTGTTTTAAATGAATCCATACATTGGGAGGGTTCACGTTAAATTAATTTGTTTATTTGGAAAGTTCACTTAAAAGAGCCCATTCATTAAACTCATTCATTAAAATTCAAGTGAATCATGCAATTGAACAATACATTTTTTATAAATCATCCAAATGGGCCAATTCTTTTAAGTGAACCATCTAAATGAACTGATTCACATAAGTGAACTATCCAAAAGAACCAATTCATTTAAGTGAACAATTAAAATAAACAAATTCATTTAAGTGAACCATGCGAAAGTACTGATTAACTTAAGTGAACCATCCAACTGAACCGATTCATTTAAGTGAACCATCACAATGAACCGATTAATTGTAAATAAAATATTAAAATTAAAATAAGTTCTTTCTGTGACCTTTTCCTTCAAGTTAGTATTGTTGCTGTTTTAAGTAGCCTATATTACTCTGCTAAAGATATGCTGAATGATTCCAGTGATTCCTCTGTGTCCCTGTAGATGGCGTTCACTCGGTGTCGGCTCAGTGTCTGCTGCAGGTCACCATCATCACGGACGAGATGCTCTCCAACAGCATCACGCTGCGATTGGCCGACACGTCGCAGGAGCGCTTCCTCTCGCTCCTATTGGCTCAGTTCCTGGAGGGCGTGGCCCGCGTTCTCTCGGCATCCCGTGAGGATGTGGTGGTCTTCAACATCCAGGATGACACTGATGTCAACGCCGGCATCCTGAACGTCAGCCTGTCAGTGGCGGTTCCGGGCGAGGGGTCGCGAGGTCACGGGGTCAGCCCAGCCCGGCTGGGTCGCAGCAGCGGAGGCGAGGTGGAGTTCTTCGGGTCGGAGGAGCTGCAGGAGCGCCTGTATCTGAACCGAAGTCTGCTGGCGCAGATCTCCTCGCAGGAGGTGCTCCCGTTCGACGACAACATCTGCCTGCGCGAGCCGTGCGAGAACTACATGAAGTGCGTATCCGTGCTGAAGTTCGACAGCCTGGCGCCGTTCGTGGCGTCCGACACCATCCTGTTCCGGCCGATCCACCCGATCGCCGGGCTGCGCTGCCGCTGTCCGCTCGGCTTCACGGGCGACTACTGCGAGACAGAGATCGACCTGTGCTACTCCAAACCCTGCGGTGCTCACGGCGTCTGCCGCAGCCACGAGGGAGGCTTCACCTGCCAGTGTCTCCACGACTACACAGGTGAGAGGGGCGGACCTTAATCTCTAGCTTCCGCTAACTGTCGTACACTCGTTCACGAGAGAGTGGCGTCCAGCAGATGACGTAAGACGTAGGCGTAGCATAAACTCCTGTGAGAATATGCTAGTCTTGCGAGAAACAAGTGTTGTTTACAGCAAAGGAAAACCAGTGTCCTCTTGGCTTATATCGAAATCCTCCGACATTTTTCTTTACAAATCCTCGTTTTGTACTACTAATTCGTGACCGGTGTTTTGTTTCGCTCTCTCCTCTGCGCTTCCACGTTCGTCACTTCTGCATTCGTTACTTCCACGTTCGTCACTTCCACGTTCGTCACTTCTGCATTCGTTACTTCCACGTTCGTCACTTCCACGTTCGTCACTTCCGCGTTCGTCACTTCCACGTTCATCACTTCCATGTTCGTCACTTCCGCGTTCGTCACTTCCACGTTCGTCACTTCCGTCACTTCCACATTCGTCACTTCCACGTTCGTCACTTCCGCGTTCGTCACTTCCACGTTCGTCACTTCCATGTTCGTCACTTCCACGTTAGTTACTTCCACGTTCGTCACTTCCACGTTCGTCACTTCCGCATTCATCACCGCGTTTGCCTACGTGCTACGTCATCCGCTGGACGCCACTCTCTCGTGAACGAGCGCACGACAGTTAGCGGAAGCTAGAGATTAAGGGTTATAAAGTACACAAACACATCGCGTCGCTTCAGAAGGCCTTTATTAAGTCGTCTTATGAACACGGTTCACAGAAGTCATCAGCTCCTGTGATTCGCTCTGAATGTAATATAATAGATGAAGTGTGTTGTACAGCTCTTTTAACATGATGTGTGTCGCAGCCCACATGTTATCATTACATAAGATCTGCGCTCTGTGTGTGTGTGGGCCGCTTCACATAAGAGTGTTGTGTAGGTGTGTGGGAGCTTCAGTGTGTGTTTGTAGAGGACTGGAGTGTATTAAAAGCACTATGAACTGTCTCTCTCTCTCTGGTTCTGTCTGTGTTTCTGGCTCCTGCTGTTCTGCCAGCTGCTCCTCCTCTTGAGTGTGTGTGTGTGTGTGTGTGTGTCCTGAACATGAGTGTTATTTAACATGTTTGTGAGCAGCGTGTTGGACTCATATCTCATCTCTCATGAGATCTGTTCATTTTGATAAGATGAATCATTCATACCGCTGCTAGAGAGAGAGAGAGAGACAGGCGGAGTAAAAGCCATGTTAATAATTGATGTGATCTCAGCAGACACTCAACACACTGAACTGATGTGACGATGAACTTCAGTAGCTGTTCGTTCAGGTCATGAATCACAATCAGCAGTGATAATGTATTTTAAGCTGTAAGTAGTGCTGGATTATGACCACAATGAGTGAGTGAGATAATAATCACACATCTCATTCCAGGCGATTCATTGTAGTGAATCACTTCAAACGAACAGTTCAAAATGATTCATTTGAATCATCGCTCAACAGTGAACCTTGTATGTTTTTGCAATGAATGTTTAGTCAAAATGAATCAATACTGAGTTTAAACACATGTTCCTGGTCTTATTGTGAGTGATTCGCCTGTGATGTTATTCATTTTGACACTGAATACTGCTGTTTAATGTGTTCAGTTCAGTTAGATAAGTTGATTCTAGTTTTATTAGTCTCACACACACACATAGAATGTCTCTGACTCAAGATTCATTATAGTCAATCATTTTGTATGAACCGTTAATATGATTCATTTGAATCATTGCTCAATTATGAACCCAGCGTAACGCCAGTATGATCAAGATGAGTCAAAATGTGCTTTGATTCAGTCATAAAAACTTATATGTTCAAGTTACAACTTGAATAATAAGTTAATTAAATGAGCTGATAATTATATGTGAAACAAAGATTCTGCCACTTTAAATAACTAGCTAAATTTTCTTAGTAGTTTGTAATGTAGCTAGTAAACTACTTTTCCAGAGACGTACTATCGTTTGACAGACGCCGGTTTCTCGTCACTGAGCTTGTAATTGAACAAGGAGCTTAAACATGAGTGTCGGGTCATTAGTCACTTGATAATGGCTGTAAACGAGGGTTTAACAAGGCTGACCCTGAACCGACTGTGAGTGCTGGTTGGTTGAGGATTGGCAGGTTCACGCTGAACTTCTCGGAGGATCATGTCGAGTGTGTGTATGAATATGGATGAGCTCTTTGATGTGAAGCTCGTATTTAAAGCTCTGACCTCGTTTCCCATCAAAGACCTTCTGAGAGAATCCAACACACCGCATCAATATTTCATCACGCGCCGAACCGGCCGCAAACCCAGGGAATGTGTGTGTAAACAGGAAGATGGAGCGACTGGCACGCACACAAATGTTTCTGTTATGATGAGCGTGACGAATCGTCTTTTGTGTGTCGAACAGTGTCGCCTTTGTTTTCACACACACACACACACACACACACTCACACACACACCCACACACACACACACACACACACACACACACACACACACACACACATTCACACACACACACACAGAGTCTTCCTCACGTTCATCTTCCTCTGTCTTCACTATATGTCTGTATTTTTACCTCCATCCATAAAAAAGAAAAACCACAAGTGAAATCTCTTAAATATCTTAGTTTTTTCTCTTAAAAAGTTGAGAAAAAATCTAATTGAGAATTTTGCTGAAGCATCTTAAAGGGATAGTTCACCCAAAAATGAAAATGTGATGTTTATCTGCTTACCCCCAGGGCATCCAAGATGTAGGTGACTTTGTTTCTTCAGTAGAACACAAACGAAGATTTTCAACTCAAACCGTTGCAGGTTGTCAGTCATATAATGGAAGTGAATGGGAATCACGGCTTTGAGAGTCAAAAAAACATACACAAACAAAACCAAATTAAACCCTGCGGCTCGTGACGATACATTGATGTGTAAAGACACGAAACGATCGGCCTGTGCAAGAAACTGAACAGGATTTATATAGTTTTTGACCTCTGATTCACCGCAATGTCCGAACAGTCCTGAGCGTGTTTGTGTGTTCTTCTTCTTCTTGCTTTACGGCGGATCGCAGACTTATAAGTCCATTACTGCCACCTATCTCTCATCTCAACAATGTCTCAAACTGTGCTCAGATTTGCTCTCAAAGTCTCCATCAAAAGTCTGAGATCTCAATCTGAGCTCAGACATTTCTCACAAATGAGCTCTATACTCTTACTGGATGATGACTAGTGACTCATTTGGGTCTCTTTTAGTAGAAACATCTGAGACAAAGCTGAAACTTCAATGAAACATAACTGAGACTTCTATGAAGTGAGCTGTGAAAGAGCAGCAATTGAGCAATAAAATGTGTTTGTGTTTCAATCCAGACTGATAAACTTTCTCTCTGTCAGTCAGGTGAGTGATGTGAGATCTCATTGCGATACGGCCGCTGTGCAAACATCTTAAACGAGATCTCTTTAATGTCTCGATTGTTTCTCTTTGAGATGAAAACGATATTCGGAAAGTCTCTGGCTTCTCATATGTTTCTCCCGAGAATAAGCCCATTTGTTTCAAACATGTCTCCTCTCGAGTTTCAGAAGAGATCTCAACTATTTCTCAAACTGTGCTCAGATTTGCTCCCAAAGTCTCAATCAAATGTCAGAGATCTCAAACATTACATTCTCAAACATGATGACTAGTGCCTCATTTAGGCCTGTTTTAGGAGAAACATCTGAGACAAAGTTGATTCTTCAATGAAACGTAAATGAGACCTCTGTGAAGCAAGATTTGAAAGAGCAACAAGAGCAATAAAATATGTGTTTGTGTGTTTAAACTAGACTGCTAAATTGTTTGTGTCTGTTCGTCATGTGAGTGCTGTTAGATCTCGCCACACTCCGGCCACTGTGCTAAAATCTCAAACGAGATCTCTTTAATGTCTCGATTGTTTCTCCAGGAGATGAAATCGCTATTCATAGTCTCATATGTTTCTCCTGAGAAAAAGAGCCCATTAATCTCACACGTGTCTCCTCTAGAGTTTCGGAAGGGATCTCAACTATGTCTCAAACTGTGCTCAGATTTGCTCAAGATCCCAAAGTCTCAATCAAAAGTCTGAGATCTCAAACATTTCTCACCAAATGATCTCTATACTCTTACTGGATGATGACCAGGGATTCAGCTGGGCCTGTTTTAGGAGAAACATCTGAGACAATGAAATGTAAAATCTCAACTTTGTCTCAAACTGTGCTCAGATTTGCTCAAAAGTCTTCAATCAAAAGTCTGAGATCTCAAACATTTCTCACCAAATGATCTCTATACTCTTACTGGATGATGACCAGGGATTCAGCTGGGCCTGTTTTAGGAGAAACATCTGAGACAATGAAATGTAAAATCTCAACTTTGTCTCAAACTGTGCTCAGATTTGCTCAAGATCCCAAAGTCTTGATCAAACGTCAGAGATCGCAAACACTTCTCACTGGATGATGACTAGTGCCTCATTTGGGCCTGTTTTAGGAAGAAACATCTGAGACAAAGTTGATACTTCAGTGAAACGTAACTGAGACCTCTATGAAGTGAGCTGTGAAAACGCAACATTTGAGCAATAAAATGTATCTCTGTGTTCAAACTGAACTGATGAGCTCTGTCTGTCCGGCAGGTGAGCGATGCGAGATCTCATCGCGCTCGGGCCGCTGTGCCGAGGGCGTGTGTAAGAACGGCGGGACGTGTCTCAATCTGCTGGTGGGCGGCTTCAGGTGCGAGTGTCCTCCCGGAGGCTTCGAGAAGCCCTTCTGCCACATGAGCTCCAGGAACTTCCCTCCGCAGACCTTCATCACCTTCAAGGGTCTCCGGCAGCGCTTCCACTTCACGCTCTCGCTGTCGTGAGTATTTGTCACCGAGATGAAGCCGTCAGCCATGTTTGTTCGTTAGTCAGCGAGTCAATAATGCTTAATGAAGCTCCTTCTTCTGGATGTTTGCTCAGTGTCTCGGGAGCTTTTATCCGCTCGTCTCGGAGCGTTATATAACATTATCCAGCGCTATTTGTCGC